GCTGAATGCTCTGTGACTATCTCACTGATTAGTGGCCAGACCCTTGAGGGCCAGATCTGAGAAGCATTTTGAGAAACCAGGCAGAATAAATAGCTTCCCACTCTGCACTTTGTTACTACGTCTATTATTGTATTCACCATAACTAGGTTAATTATTGGTCTGTTTTGCCTGCTAAAATAGCGGGTACTTAATGTGAGCAAGGACAGCCCTCCTCCTATGTTTTTGGGTCCTCACCACCCACAGCATGCCTGGTCCATAGCTGATACTTAATATATGACTGTTAGATGAATTATTTAATAAAAAAGCAACATAAAATACATAGTATAATAAAGTTGAACAATATGATTTTAAAATTAATTTATCCAGTAAGCTTAAAACATCTATTTTCATTCTCTAACTTCATCCCAATATCTGATTTAGCCCCATTCATTAGGAGAAGAGAATAAAATTTTAATAAATGGCTAGACATAAAAAATCTTTATAGGGAGAGAAGTCGCCTTGTTTTAGGAAACTAAAAATGGCTAAATAATTGTGAAGCTGAAATAAAACAGATGGATATATTACCAAAAGGTAGTTTCATGCACTCACCACTCTTAAACAATCCAGAACAAATTCCGCTCAGAACAAGTTTTTGACGTAATTGCAGAACTTCAGCTTCTAAGGCTTCTACTTTTGATCTCCACTTAGACTCCTGCCCAGAAACCACCCTCGCAAGGTGTTCTGTGTATTCTCTGCTGCTTTTGTCTGCTGGTTTTGAGCGGATGATTGCCAAGGCCAGAGCCAGCTTTGAAGTTCTCAAAAACCATGCTTGATGATCCATCTTGGCTTTTGTCCCTATAATCAATAGAAAAAAAGTAACAGAAATTCCTTTTAACTTTTGAAGTGCATTTCATTTGCTCAAAATTGATTTGCAGAGTAACACTAATTAATAAGTTTATACTATAATTTAACAACTAACAAAAAATTCTCAAAGAGTGAAAATAGTATGAAAAATATACAGATGAAAAATGCATACACAGGAGTATTAAGATTCAAAACAGTAGGTTTGGACAATTCTCGGGGTGGAAAAAATAGACATTAATTTTTTACTGATTTCCAACCAGAGGCATACATCAGAATCTCAGAAGGATATATACGCCAATATATTTACATACACACATTTTATATATATCTGGTCTATCCCCCCGAAATTCAATTTCAGCAAATTTGGGACAGGACTGAGAATTTTTCTTAATTTTTTAAAAAATTACTTTTGATATACAATTTTATGTAAGTTTCAGGTATACAACAAAGTGATTAAGCATTTATATAACTTACAAAATGATCACCCTGATAAGTCTAAACATCTGTATCATTGAGTATTTTTTGTTTGCTTGCTTGTTTTGTTTTTTTTAGGTTATACATGGAAGTGAAATACAGTATTTGCCTTTCTTTCTCTGGCTTATTCCACTTAGCATAATACCCACTAGACTCACTCATGTTGTTGCATCTGGCATAATTTTATTTGTTTTTATGGCTGAGTAATATTGCATTGTATTTATGTACTGCATCTTCTTTATCCATTTGTCTATCAATGTCCTTTGCCCCATTATTTACAATAGCCAAGATATGGATACTTCCATATCTTGGCTATTGTAAATAATGGGGCAAAGAACATAGGGATGCATATGTCTTTTTGATTTAATGTTTTTGATTTCTTAAGATAAATACCCAGAAGTGGGGTCTCTGGGTCATATGGTAGTTCTATTTTTAATTTTTTGAAGAACCTCCATACCGTTTTCCATAGCAGCTGCACCAATTTATAATCCCACCAACAGTGCATTTCAGTTTTTCTCCACATCCTCACCAACACTTATTTGCTGATTTATAGATGACAATCATTCTGACAGGTGTGAGGTGCTATCTTATTGTGGTTTTAATTTTTCATTTCCTTTATGATTAGTGATGTTGAGCATCTTTTCATATGTCCATTGGCCATTTGTATGTCCTCTTTGGAGAAATGTCTATTCAGGTCCTCTGCCCATATTTTAATAGGACTATTTGTTTTTTTGTTGTTAAATTATATGAGTTGCTTATATGTTTTGGATATTAACTCCTTATCAGATGTATCTTCTCATTCAGTAGGTTGCCTTTTTGTTTCGTTGTGTGGTTTCTGTTGCTGTGTAAAACTCTTAGTTTGATGTAGTCCTATTTGTTTATTTTTTCTTGTTTTCCCCTTGCCCAAGGAGACATATCCAAAAAAATATTACTAAAAGCAATGTCAAAGAGTTTACTGCCTAGGTTTTCTTCTAGGATTTTTATGGTTTCAGATATTACGTTTAAATCTATAATCCATTTTGAGTTTATTCTTGTATATGGTGTAAGAAAGTACTCCAGTTTCATTCTTTTTCATGAGTCTGTCCACTGTTCCCAGCACTTTTTATTGTTTTTACCCCATTGTATATTTTTATCTGTTTTGTCATAGATTAAATGACAATACAGGTGTAGATTTATTTCCGGGCTGTCCATTCTGTTCTAAGTATCTTTGTCTCTTTTTATACCAGTACTATGCTGTTTTGATTACTATAGTCTTGTAGTAGGGTTATTTGATACCAGGTACTGTGATACATCCAACTTTGTTCTTCTTTCTCAAGATTGCTTTGGCTATTTGAGGTCTTTTGTAGTTCCATAAAAATTTTAGGATTAGTTGGTCTAGTTCTGTGAAAATACCATTGGTATTTTGATAGAGATTGCACTGAATCTGCAGATTGCTTCGGGCAGTATGGGCACTTTAACAATGTTAATTCTTCCTATCCACGAGCATGGTATATACTTCCATTTCTTCAATGTCTCATAATTTTCTGAGTAGAGGTCTTTTATCTCCTTGGTTAAATTTATTCCTAGGTATTTTATTCTTTTTGATGTAATTGTAAATGGATTGTTTTCTTCTCTTTCTGATAGTTCATCATTGGTGAATAAAAATGCAACTGATTTATGAATATTAATTTTGTATCCTACTACTTTACTGAATTCATTTATCAGTTCTAACGGTTTTTTGGTAGAGTCTTTAGGGTTCACTATATATAGTGTCATATCATCTGCAAATAATGATAGTTTTACTTCCTCTTTTCCAATTTGGATGCCTTTAATTGTTTCTTGTCTGACTGCTGTGGCTAGGACTTCCAATACTAGGTTGAATAAAAGTGATAAAAGTAGACATCTTTATCTTTTTCTTGATCTTAAGGAAAATGCTTTTAGTTTTTTACCATTATAATATTAGCTGTGGGTTTGTCATATATGGCCTTTGTTGTATTGAGAATGTTCCCTCTATTCCCATTTCAATGAGGATTTTATCATAAATGGATGCTGGATTTTGTCAAATGTTTTTTCTGCATCTATTGATATCCTATTTTTGTCCTTCATTTTCTCTATGTGCTATATCACGTCAATTGATTTGCAGATATTGAACTAACCTTGCATCCCAGGAGTAAATTCCACTTGATCATGATGTATGATCTTTTTAATGTATTGCTGAATTTGGTTTGCTAATATTTTGTTGAAAAATTTTGCACCTATGTTCATCAGTGATATTGGCCTATAATTTTCTTTTTTACAATGTCTTTGTCTGATTTTAGAATCAGGGTAATTCTGGCCTCCTAGAATGAGCTTGGGGGCTTTCCCTCCTCTTGAATATTTTGGAATTATCTGAGAAGGATAGGTGTTAATTCTTTGAATGCTTGGGAAAAGTTTCTTCCTGATTCAGTCTTGGAAGAGTGCATGTTTCTAGAAATTTATTTCTTCCAGATTGTCCAATTTGTTGGCATATAATTGTTCACAGTATTTTTTTATAATCCTTTGTATTTCTGTGGTGTCAGTTGTCACTTTTCTTTAAATTCTGATTTTATTAATTTGGGTCCTCTCTTTTTCTTGATGAGTCTGCTTAAAAGTTCATCAATTTTATCTTTTCAAAGAACCAACTCCTGGTTTCATTGATCTTCTATTGTTTTTTTAGACTGTATTTCATTTATTTCTGCTCTGATCATTATCATTTCCTTCCTTCTACTAATTTTGGACTTTGTTCTTTTTTTTCTAGTTACTTTGAGTATAAGGTTAGATTGTTTAGGATTTTTTTTCTTGTTACTTCAGGTAGGTCTTTATTGCTATAAATTTCCCTCTTAAAACAGTTTTGGTTGTGCCCCATAGACTTGTGGTTGTTGTGTTTTCATTTTCATATGTCTCAAGATATCTTTTGATTTCTTCCTTGATCTCATTGTTAACTCGTTCATTGTTTAGTAACATTATATTTAGCCTATATGTGTCTGTGTGTTGTTCAGTTTCTTCTAATTGATTTCTAGTTCCATACCATTGTGATCACAGAAGAGGCTTGGTATGAATTCAATCTTCTTAAATTAATTGAGACTTGTTTTGTGGTCTAACATGTGGTCTATCCTGAGAAATGTTCCATGTACACTTGAGAAAAAAATTGTTTTTGAGTGAAATGTCATAAAAATATCAATTAAATCTATTTGATCTAATATGTCATTTATGTCAATAGATGTTAAATTCCCCTACTATAACTGTATTACTGTCGACCTCTCCCTTTATGTCTGTCAATATTTGCTTTATATATTTCGGTGCTCCTACATTGTGTGTGTGATGTTTACGAGAGTGATGTCTTCTTGTTGGATTGATCACTTTATCATTGTAAAATTCCCTTCTTTGCCTCTTGTTACAGCCCTTATTTTAATGTCTATTTTGTCTGATATGAATATTGCTACCCAATTTGCATGAATTATCTTTTTCCCTTTACTTTCAGTCTGTGTATGTCTTTAGATCTAAAGTAGGTCTTCTGTAGGCAACATACCTATGGGTCTTGTTTATTATCCATTCAGCCTCCCAATGTCTTTCGAATGCAGCATTCAATCTATTTACATTTAAAGTAACTATTGATAGGTTATATAGTTACTGCCATTTTATTATTTATATTTTTAAATCTTTTTTTCCTCCTCTTCTTCTGAAAGCAGTACCTTTAACATTTCTTGTAATACTGGTTTGATGGTGATGAACTCTTTTAGCTTTTTCTTCTCTGGGAAGTTATCTCTCCTTCAATTCTAAATGACAGCCTTGCTGGGCAGGGTAATCTTTGGTGTAGGTCCTTGCTTATCATCACTTTGAATACTTTGTGCTAGTCTCTTCTGTTCTGCAAAGTTTCTGTTGAGAAATCAGCTGACAGTCTCATGAGAGTTCTCTTGTAGGTAAATAACTTTTCTCTTGTCACTTTTAAGATTCTCTGACATTAAAATGACCTTTGACATTTTAATTATGATGGTTCTCAGTGTGAACCTGTTTGGATTCATCTTGTTTGAGACTCTCTAGGCTTCCTGTACTTGTATGTCTATTTCCTTCTAGGTTAGGGAAGTGTTCAGTCATTATTTACTCAAATAGGTTTTAAATCCCTTGCTCTCTCTTTCTCCTATTGGTACCCCTATAATGCAAATGCTGACATACTTGATGTTCTCCCAGAGGCCCCTTAACCTATCCTAATGTTTTTTAATTCTTTTTCCTTCCTGCTGTTATGATTAGGTGTTTTCTGCTACCTTATCTTCCAAATCACTGATTTGACACTCTGCTTCATTAATCTACTGTTGATTTCCCTCTGACGTATTCCTCATGTCAGTTATATTCTTCATTTCTGATTGGTTCCTTTACACTTTTGTTTTTACCTCCATTTTTATGTCTCTTATCTCTTTGTTAAAGTTATCACTGAGTTCACATACTCTTTGTCTAAGTTCATTAGCATCCAGGACTGAGACTTTTATATTTTGATGAGTCTACTCTGTA